ATGGAATTTGTGTGTTGAAATTACCCTGAACAGGCATATACGAAATATCCCTATTAAGCATATCAATTAGATTACCAACTCGAAAAACTGTAAACTTTAATTGTAAGTAAAGTTGAAATAGAGTGAACGCAATATTCTTGATTTTATAATGTAGAAATTGTGTGATTGAATTATCCTAAATCAGTATTAGTAATCCTCCTTGGGTATATCAGTTGCATCAATAGGTCATTGAATTTTAAACTGTAATTTTAGGTAATTTAGACATGAAATAAGAGCAATTTATATAATATGAAAATTATTTACTCGAATTGTTCTGAACTAAACCAGTATTTGTAATACCTTCCTTGAGCATGCCAGTTAGATCAATAGCTGATTGATGTAACTGCAGCTGTAACAGGAGGGTATACAACTGTAACAGGAGGGTATACAACTGTAACAGGAGGGTATACAACTGTAACATGAGTGTATATAACTGTAAAAGGAGAATATATAGGCTAACTGTAACTGGAGTGTATATAACTGTAACTGGAGGGTATACAACTGTAACAGGAGTGTATAAAACTGTAACAGGAGGGTATACAACTGTAACAGGAGGGTATAAAACTGTACTTGCAATTAGAATAAATGAAATAAGGAAAATTGTGACGGCATTTCATGTGGATCCAGCCTTGTAAGCCACCCCTGAATGAGCGTCTGAATCGATGTTCTACAAACAGCGAACGCAAAATGGCGGTCCTGCTAGAATCTAGATGAACTTGGGCTTGGTGTTCCTAGAAAGGCTCTATAAGGCCTGTTGAAAATAATAGTCGATATTAATTTCCGGACTAGAAATGGCCAACGATCAGACGATGTTGACATTTCTTCAAAGATAATTTTTACTGTTATATGTCGCAAGCATTGATCGATGAGTCGGCCACTCTGTTAAGCTAGGAAATGTTAGCTTACAAATGCAAACGAAGTAACTTACTTATTTTTTGAACAAAAATTAAAATATTCTTTAAAACCATTTTGGAATACATTTCTCATTAATGGACAGTTTTAGAGTTAATATTTTTTTTGTTATTCAGCTTACTCTCGAAGTTTTCAATTTCTCGTTTGTCAAATTTTGTTTTAATAAAATATTTTAGGAAAATTATCATAATATATGTTTCCTTTCTTTGCAGCAATCTATTCAATTTGGCTAGGTATTTATTTGAATGAAGAAACTCGTTTAAAAAACTAAATTCACTCATCTGAATGACATTGTGTTATACATAATTTGTTGTCTCATGTCTTACAGAAAGCGAATTATCATATAATATTATAATATATTATAATATATCTATAATATACTATATTTATAATAATATAATATACGCCAATAAACTGATTTTTTTGCTTCTGAACCTTCACCTTGGAAAATAGCTTGGATGTTAATATATAGTTAATTTTAGACTATTAAGACATGCATTCCTGCTGAGCAACAATTTATCTCTATTCAATTCGGGCATTTTTATTTCATAGATTTTCATCATTTTATTTTATAGTTTGGAAATTACATTATTATTCATAAATAGTTTATATAAAAGGGATTCGAAGAATTAATCTACATCATTGCAGACAGGAGACTCTGACACGGATAGAATTCATAACAGTTTTCATTTCTAAAAACTTATTGATAGAATTCCAGAAAAATTCATTATTCTTATAATTAATAATTACTGTCATGTACATTTTTATAAAAATTTTTTATTCAAATTCTCTTCTATTGAATTCAAGTTGCTTCCAAATACAATTTTATTCTAAATGTTGGACCCACTTTTAATAAATTCGTAGTTATTTAAGAATAAGTTAAAATGTAAGTAGAAAGTATAAGTTTTTTTACATATTTATAAATGTTCAATATGTCCCCCTAGTGCTGTCTCCTATGTCCCCAATACGTCCCCGGTACATAGAAAATGAAGATCTTGCTCTACACTTCTTGCTCTATATATGTAGAAAAAATCAGAATCTTTCTCTTTCCATTGGTACATAAATTATTCCTTTTGATTTATACCTAAATAAATACAAATTTATTAAATTAGGTCCATCATTTAGAATAACCCTGTAAATTTCCGTTCGAATTTCAACAAGCAACTGAAACTCTAAACAACGAAACAAGAATCATACATAAGATCTAATATGTTGGTGTTATCTTCACGTCCATGAGCCATATGACAGGCAGATATTTTCTTTTGCTTTTTTATCTATTATTATCATCTGTTATCACTGTTATCCATATCTTTTATTCTTATTATCTAATAATGCCTTTACAAATGTGTTCACGTGCAAAGTAGTTCAAGCCTGGCCCAAGCTTTAAATAATGTCAATAAACCCATTACTTTTTTTTATTCAGTCCCGACGGATGCGTCGTTTAGGGCGAAATTAAGCTACCAAATTCAGTGAATTTGCCATTAAGGCCGCGTCATAGATGATTTAACGGCCTTTATGATGGGTTTTTCGCGACACTCTGTTTGTTATCCTTCAAAACTCACCTCATTGATGTCAGCGTTAGTGTCAGCTGAATAGATAACGCCACATTTGTTCAATGTCTGAGCAGGTTAATCATTAGAACGAAATTTATATTTCGTGCCTTACCTCTCAACGATCAAGTTCAATTCTGCCGCCGTGTTAGTATCGTCAAGAATTATAAATGAATTCTCAGTGAATAAAAAAATTATTCCTCTATAAATAAGTCTGCTTCTTACTCTTGACTGTACAAGTATTTTCTGAGGCACTTTGATTTTACTAATTTGATATTTCATAACACACGATAATCTTGATTTGTTAAACGCATTTTAGCGCAAACGCACTGACAGTCCTCGATATAAGTCTAATTCCATCCTCGGGATAAGTTTACTCACCTTTAAACTTGGCTTCACAGTCATCTTTGAATTAGTACTCACTGCTTACATCATTACTCATATGACGTACGTAGAGTGCAGAGTGGAATAGACAACACAGCCGTTGTATTACGAGGTGTCTTTCGTTCTTAATTCAGGCACGTATGCAACGTATCCATTTCATTTTCAAATATTGTTGACGCGGAATTAAACACATGAACTTAAATTTGAAATAAAACTTTAAATTTTAAAGACTAAAACTTTAAATTTTGAAGACTTGAACATTAAATTTTGAAGACGGAATATATAAATTTTGAAGACTAAAACTTCAAATTTTGAAAACTAAAACTTTCAATTTTAAAGACTAAATCTTTAAATTTTGAAGACTAAAAAAAACTCTAAATTTTGATAACTAAAATTTTAAATTTTGAAGACTAAAACTTTAAATTTCGAAGAATGAAACTTTAAATTTTGATGAGTGAAACTCTAAATTGGAGTCCAGTGCCTCAAAATTAAAAAAATTTTCTGAAAGGAAACGTGCTGTTTGAATTTAACTGTATGCCGAAGAGACCTGGTGGGTGGGTGGCGCGTGACAGCAGTGGCAGATCGTCGCGACTTTTTTGTGACAATTTTTTCACATTTTTGTGAAATAAATTATCAGTTGCTCTTTCCTGTAAACGAAAATGTTCGCAAACTGCCTGAAATACTTCTGCGTACCACTAGTGATGGTATGTGGACCCACCGTTTAGGTACTTGTATCACTGGTACGCTTAAATCGTAAGTTCACCAATAACTTATAAGAAAAGAACACGCCAAGTAAATTTACTAAATCTTTGACATAAATAAAAAATAAATAAATTTTAAATTTATAAATTTATAACTATTGACATAAATTTAAATCATAAATTTTGAAATAAATTTAACGCAAACGTATCGGCATCTCTATGGTCATGTGCAATAAACATGAAATGGCACAACTCAAGTTTTATGAGAAGAAACACAAAATATATTAACATGTTCTTTATCGGTTCTTTAACCGTGTGAGTTTCACGGTTAGCGTTCCACAAGGCGGTACACCAGGGACGGATTGAGGCGTAATACAATATTAAAACAAGACATTATGCAGACAAGATCTAAAGGAATAAGTCATACATATCCGGAATGAATACTTAATTACTCTCACTGATCGCCCCGCCTACCTGCGTAGGCGAAGAATATGATGACGGAGGGAGTCGTGAGGTGAATTCACAATTGTGCAATAAAAACTATTGAGATTCAGTAAAAAGAACTGAACTGGATTAAGTTATCAGGAAAAATTGTACGCGGCAGACCATTCATTCGAAGAATTTATCACAAGGATCTCGTCATGTCGTCACCCCCCGACAATCTCATATATATACGATTTCAAATGAAACCGCGCAAGTGTAACCTGAAGTCAGTAATTTACACACTAAAAATCCTCGCGTAGGAGTTGAGAGTCAAAGCTTGCTTAAAATTTGCTGCCTAAATGGTAATTAAATATGCGCACGGAATATAAGACCAAGTGCAAACTGAAAAATCGAAATCCTGTTTCACATCAATTCGTAGATAAAAACCACCAATGCAGAAATTTTTAATAATTGCAGCCGGGTATTTTGGAAAGACAATGAATCTAAACACCAAAGATTTCGATAGTACGGGCACCTTGTAGACGATTCACTCTCTCAGACCTAAATTCTAATTGAAGGGAGTTCAGTTCCATCAGAAATCGCGGGTATAGTGCTGCCATCAAATCCCTCATATGCCGAATCGTTTACTCTCATAAAATTCTTCCTGATTGAACTTTGAAATATAAATCATTCATCAATCAACCCTATTGACTAAAACTGAGGTCTCTTCTGACGAAAGAAGGCAGCCAGGCCAGCCTTCGCATCCGATTTCCCATGGATTCCGGAGTATTTTGAACCCCAAAAATTTCGGACTTGATATCGAACGACGGCTTTCCAACGCCCTCAGAAGCTATTTATCGGTCAATGAAAAGTAATAGGTTTAAACTACGTGACATTGTAGCGCGCTCACCAGATCATTCCGCACTCCAGATGGACCTATATATGGCCATCAGGCGGTACCACCAATTGCAACTACCTACACTCGGGTATTCTAAGAAGCAGCATCAGCAATTTTTGGTGACACGCTTGCCTCCCGGTTCACAGGTTTCTGTGACATATTTATGGAAGACTCCCTCTCAACGGGCTCAAATCGATGCGTGGATACACGAATTGTAATCCCGTCAGCAACCCTCTCGGAAGGATTGAGTCTTGGTCCATGCACTCGGGCCTCACTGTCGAACCTTACGAATTATGCATCGCTCTGGAACGCGATGTCGCAGATGTCTTTACCGCTGGTGGCTTAGTACAACAACTCTGCACTACGGACCTTGAGGATTCTCGCTTGCGAAATCTCTTGTTTGCATCGATGATTAAAGCCTGTTTTGCACATCAGTCTCTCTGCTAACTTACTTACTTACTTAACTTACTTACTTAACTTACTTTCGCAAGTAAATACCGAGTGCTTTCGATTCTATTTATATGAAAAGTGAATTTTGACGACACTAATATCCTGCTAGTAAAAAAAAATTGAAGGCATAGATTTATTACAAATTACTTTGCGAGCCCAATGCAGAAGCAGAAGAAGACAGAGGCTGCGTCGTCTGTTATATAGTAGTTATATGGTAGTTTTATGTAGTGTGACAGGCGACTGGTTCAACAGCTCGGGCTGCCCACGTTTTTTGGTATTAACTAACAACTAGTGCAAGATAATCGGTTATTTTTGCTTCCTATTTACTCTTTGAATGTGTTTCCACCCAAGTGTTTTTATCGTTCATTACTTCCCGATTGAGAGAACCTTTGCAGAAAAGAAGATATATGAATGAAAAAAAAATAATTAAAACAGAATTGTACAGCCTGTGAGACGTAAATTTCGCAAATCCTTGCATTTCTGAGGTGTAGAAATGTAAGACAACAAGAATTTATAGCTAACTATCATTTTAATGGAGAAGTCGGCAGTGGAGTGAATGTCAAGGTGAGACTATGAGATTAGTTGCGTCTCCGGTTGACAACAGACTGCTCCTGGAACTACGTAGTTTTCTTCATTCGTTTCTACTTGTTGACCCAAACGGTGGCATTATAGGGATTTTTGTGATACAAAAACGTTTTATCCTTGCTTTAAATTCAACAAAATGCTGGCTATGCCATTTACTACGAGTATAAGAAATCTTTGACTCTTGAAGAATTTAGTAGCTACATAATACCTGCATCTGCCAACCATGCCAGATGAAGAAGTTTTTACTACATTTGATATTTTTGATAATTGAGTCACGTAATCATATATTCGTTAAACTGTTCCATCAATCAATAAAATTATCTTACTGGTAAGATATGCCGTCTACTATAAGTCAGGTCGAGTTTCCTGCAAAACAAGGAAAGCTATGTCACCATATAGAGTTTGTTTAGTCTTGAATCTAACCTTCAAAGAATTAGAATACTTTAAGCCCCTGTTTCCAGTAAGTTATTAGCTACATATTACAGTGTAATTCATCAGGGAAATCGTGTTTTATGTTTTATTAGTAATATATCTCGGATATCGTACCGTGTGTTTGTCAAGTTCAATTTCTGTTAAGTAAAATTTTAACGGCTTAGAATCGACGGTAACGATATGAAGCACATAGGTAACGATATGAAGCACATAGGTAACGATATGAAGCACATACGCCACGATATGAAGCACATACGCCACGATATGAAGCACATACGCCACGATATGAAGCACATACGCCACGATATGAAGCACATACGCCACGATATGAAGCACATACGCCACGATATGAAGCACATACGCCACGATATGAAGCACATACGCCACGATATGAAGCACATACGCCACGATATGAAGCACATACGCCACGATATGAAGCACATACGCCACGATATGAAGCACATACGCCACGATATGAAGCACATACGCCACGATATGAAGCACATACGCCACGATATGAAGCACATACGCCACGATATGAAGCACATACGCCACGATATGAAGCACATACGCCACGATATGAAGCACATACGCCACGATATGAAGCACATACGCCACGATATGAAGCACATACGCCACGATATGAAGCACATACGCCACGATATGAAGCACATACGCCACGATATGAAGCACATACGCCACGATATGAAGCACATACGCCACGATATGAAGCACATACGCCACGATATGAAGCACATACGCCACGATATGAAGCACATACGCCACGATATGAAGCACATACGCCACGATATGAAGCACATACGCCACGATATGAAGCACATACGCCACGATATGAAGCACATACGCCACGATATGAAGCACATACGCCACGATATGAAGCACATACGCCACGATATGAAGCACATACGCCACGATATGAAGCACATACGCCACGATATGAAGCACATACGCCACGATATGAAGCACATACGCCACGATATGAAGCACATACGCCACGATATGAAGCACATACGCCACGATATNGACCTCAGCATACATGACCTCAGCATACATGACCTCAGCATACATGACCTCAGCATACATGACCTCAGCATACATGACCTCAGCATACATGACCTCAGCATACATGACAACAACATACATGACCTCGGCTTACATTCATTGGCTAGTCGATTTTTCAAACCATGAAATTTATTACGTGCTCACTGCCAGTGAACTTGAAACGAAGCTTGAAACTTTCCTCCTGCTTGCTGGGAACTTTTGAACACACCATGAACAAACCATGAACTTTATTCTGAGAAACTTTTGAACGTACCGTGAATTTTATTCCCTTCGTCCTGTAAAGGTTTTGATCAACCATGCACTCTATTTCGTTCCACAAGTGAAAATTTGAAGTGTACGACGAGCTGGAAACGCGAAGCTAGAGACTCTGCAAGATTTGTGCAAGTTGTTTGAGAACTTCTACAGGGACAGATTTTTCGTGCAGTTATTTTCTATTATGGAATATTATATTTCGTACCTATTTTCTATTATGGAATGATCCGCACACCCAGTGTTGATAGCCATTGGTCAAAAATTGTTGATTAGGAAAATACCGCATATGCATGGCAAAATTTCAAAACCATTTTTTTCTCAGAATAGTTTATTTTTATTTGCGCATTGAAGGTTTTGGTGTTATTAAAACGTTAATTCAGTATTCAGTGCCATTGTTTAGTGCATTAGGTTTCTTTTACTACTTTAATTTCTATTCTTATGAGAGCAATCGTCTTATTTTCAGTGCCTTGTTTAATTTAACAGTTAGCCAGAACAAGACCTATTAACTTTAAATTGAGTAAAAATTTCCGTCTCTGTCAGAAATAAATTATAGTTTTTAACGAGTTTGCCTAATTTCGTCATACTTTTTTTGTTATTATCTTCTAACGGTGATTTTCCATATCCGGTGAAAATTCATTTAAGTATCAAAGTGTTCAGTGCAGGAAATGTTCTGTAAAGCAGGATCGTAGTGTAAAATTCGACATATCGACCGTTTTTCTCATAAGTAACGGAGCAATTCGTGCCTGTGCAAAATAATATTTCGTGTGTGTTCGTCATAGTTCGTGAGTGTCTTCAGTCGCTAAAATTCAATCATAGTGGCAAATAAAAAAATTCAACCGTTTAGCTCTAAGTAACGGCGAAATTCGTGCCTGTGCAAAATGATAGTTCATGCGTGTTCGTCATGGTTCGTGAGTGTCTTCAGTCGCTAAAATTCACTGATAGTTGAAAATTCGGGAAATAAACCGTTTATTTTTAAGTGCAGGAGAGCGATTCGTGCCGGTGCAAAATGATAGTTCGTGTGTGTTCATCATTGTTCGTAAGTGTCTTCACTTCAATCATAGTGGAAAAATTGAGAAATCAATCGTTTATTTTCAAGTGCAGGAGAGCGATACGTGCCGGTGCAAAATGATAGTTCGTGCGTGCTCATCATTGTTCGTGTCTTCAATTCGGTCATAGTGGAAAATGCAAAAAATCAACCATTTATTTTCAAGTGCAGGAGAGTGATACAAAGTGATAGTCTATGAGTGTCTGTGATTTTCAGTTGCGACAATCCTACGTGAGAGTCGAACCTACCTGCCTGGCGGCTACGAATGAATAGAAGTCACCCCGCACGGTGAGTAACGTTCATTTTTGTCTATGATTTTTCTTCATGGGTTTTGATAGGGTAAATAATTCTGGTGCATTTATTTAGATGATAATGTTATCAATAACTTTTTTAATATGTCAATTTACGGATTTCAAAAGGGTTTATCATCTTTTTTCATATATATTGAAATTTATGTTATTTGGTTGATTTCACGATTCATTTTAACATTTTTATTTCTGTTCTCTTGTGAAATTTGCATGCATCAAAATTTTATTGTGATATCGTTTATGCGGGCATGAAACAGAATATATACATAGAATCATTTCGAATCATAATGACGTTCGCTGCACAAGGGCCTTGTGTAAAATTCGACATATCGACCGTTTTTCTCATAAGCAACGGAGCAATTCGTGCCTGTGCAAAATAATATTTCGTGTGTGTTCGTCATAGTTCGAGAGTGTTTTCAGTCGCTATAATTCAATCATAGTGGAAAATAAAAAATTTCGACCGTTTATCTCTAAGTAACGGCGAAATTCGTGCCTGTGCAAAATGATAGTTCGTGCGTGTTCGTCATAGTTCAAGAGTGTCGTTAGTCGCAAAAATTCAATGATAGTGGAAAATTCGAGAAATCAACCGTTTATTTTTAAGTGCAGGAGAGCGATTCGTGCCGGTGCAAAATGATAGTTCGTGTGTGTTTAGTCATAGTTCTTCAATTCAATTATAGTGGGAAATTTAAGAAATCAACCGTTTATTTTTAAGTGCAGGAAAGCGATGCAAAGTTACAGTCTGTGAGTGTCTGTGATTTCCAGTCGCGACAATCCTACATGAGAGTCGAACCTACATGCATGGCGGCCACGATTGATTATAGAAGTCACCCCGCACGGTAAGTAACATTAATATTTGTCTATGATTGTTCTTCATGGGTTTTGATAGGGAATATACTTTTGGTGCATTTATTTTAATGGCAATGTTATGATTAACTTTTTCATTGTCACTTTACGGATTTCAAAAGGGTTTATCATCTTTGTTTTCTTATTCATTGTAATGTATGTTATTTGGTTGATTTCATGAGTTATTGCAACGTATCTATTTCTTTTCTTATTGTGAAATTTGCATGTATCAAGATTTTATAGTAAAATCGTTTATGCGGGCATGAAAAATAATATAAATAAATTCCTTTCTAAACAAAGTGACGTCGCTGCCCAATTAAGGGCCTTTCATGATACAAAAATTTAGAAAGATTTTACCCGTAAAATTTCTTTGGCAGTTCACGCCAGTTCGGCAGTTGCAACCTCTTCTATTAAAATTTGAGCTCACGAAACATTTCAAATTTTCGTACACCGTGTCTGTCCAACATGGTGTGCATGCTATATATGTATGTCCCACCAGGCAAATGACATCGAAGCAATATGTAATCAACGTTTATTCAATGAAACAACGTTTAATTCACCAGGAATTTAGAAGCAAAGAAAATCGCCAAAAAGTTCACCATTTCTTATAATAGAAAACGTTTCGGAGTCCAGCTCCATCGTCAGATCAAAACATAGGAGCAAAACCTTTCTAGATTTTGAACTGACGATGGAGCTGGACTCCGAAACGTTTTCTCTTATATGAAATGGTAATTTTTTTCGATTTTCTCTGCTTTTAAATTCCTGGTAAATTTGCGATTTTAAGCAATCAAGTAATCTTAATACGCTTTAATTTAACACTGATTTGTCGTCAGACGTCTCTTTAACCCACCATAGCTCTGTTGTACTAGTGCCAAGATTGTTTTTTAGGAAGCATTGGGACAGGAGATCAAATTGAATTTTCATTTCAGTTGCTGTGACGTATTCCCAGAATTTGTTTCAAATTAGTGTGAATTAATAAATCATGCTCAGTTTGGAATAATGCAATGGTTATTTTTCAGTATAATTATAATATAGATACCGAAACATGTGAAATGAATGAGCTCAATGAATCGAGTGAAAATTAACATCTCCAATGTATGTTTAATTTTTACTTTAAAGTGTACAAATTTCATAACAATTCGGGAGGTAATTTTTGCGGCAGCTCGTTTGTTGAAACAAAAATAAATAAATGAATGCTATCGCATTTATTACCATTAATAAATATAATATATTAGGATATATTATATAAGTAAATATTTTATTAATAAATATTATATTAGTAAATATAATATCTCGTTAGCTATTTCTGCATTCTAGTCCGCTACGTCTTTTTTGTCTGTAAATATTTTTATGGACGTTCTCAAGGTCATTGAGAAAGGGTCCGATTTATATACCTGAACTCAATTTTACAAACATTCATCGCCGTTACCCGCGTAAGAAAGTAAACAAATTATTCAGATTGTCTCATTATTTCAAAAAATTTCTGACTACGACAAACAAATCCACGTCATTTTTTAACTTCCTCGACGTTCGAAAATTATCGCCTTGTCAAAATTATTATTTTATTATATTACATTTTTTGTTATAGTTATTATATTAGTATCACCTTCTCGAAATTATCGTCATCACTATCGCGAAGCATGGCCAGTTCATCAATAATTCATAATTTAAAATGTGATGATATTCGATTATGAGAAATTTAGAAATTTATTTATGTTGGTCATTGACCTGAAGGATTGATTTTTTTGCTGTTCCTTTGGAAGTCTTTCTAACACATTTCAGTAAATCTAAGAATTTTCAGATGATTCTTTGTACAAATTTACCTGAGCAAATAAAAAAAAGTATTAGCTGAGATGTTTCTTTGAAGAAGAGCTTGGTGACACGCCAGTTTTTCTCGCTAGAGTCACCAGTAGGTTCTAAAACTTGCTAATTATCTATCATTAAATCGTAGCGTATAATCATTAGTTATTAGGTCTAAACTCTTACACCTACTCGGTTGTCTTCAAATCCCACTTGTTGAAGCGTATTTATTTCTATTTTAGGCTTGTATTTTATTCAACAACAGTTGCGCGATGTTGACCTACTTCAAGTTAACGATTCTAAAAACGTGTGACGCTTTTTCTGTGGAACTGCAATTCGCGCGAATAAGTATGATTAAATTTCGCTTGAAATCTTGAGACATATCGACGATCGCCTTCCAAAATTCAGCGATGCCCAGTCAATATTAATAAGGGTGAAATATTCAGTTAGAGAACTAATACCTACGAATAAATATGATATATGTCGAATTACTTGAGTTCAATCTATTATCTTCTTGTAATGAGGATTTTTTCATTACTAATATTTTATTTGAATTAATTTAACCTTCGAATTTCCGAAGCGAATTTCTAAAGAAACATATCACTCGCTTATTAAATTCAAATCAATAGTTTTCAATACACAATTTAAAGCAAGTACCACGTTATTTCAGGTCAAATAAGTGAACAGTTGCTCCTTTTAAATCATAATAATTTTTTCCCTTTAGCGCAAGCATATCTTTTGAAAACGTTGCCTGACTTGGAGCATCAGCAATGGCCAGCGCTTTACCGTACTCGTTTAAACTGCACCGCATACAGCTC